CGACGAGGATTTCGTTGGTGTGAGGCCCGTACTTGTCCGCAGTGTCGAGGTATGTGATCCCCGACTCGATCGCCGTGCGAATGAGCTTGATCATCTCCTCCTGCGGCTTGGGAGGGCCGTAGAATGCCGACATTCCCATGCATCCGAGGCCTTGCTTGGAGACCTCGAGACCTTGGGAGCCGAGGTTGATGCGCTGCACCATTGCCAAGCAAGAAACCCTTTTTCTTCGCCAAATCTAGATTGCATAAAGACCATTCCCTTCGTTCGTATCCGCATCCTTCGTGCCTTCCTGGAAGTGGAGAAATTAATTTGCTCTACTTAGTGCATTGTAGTTGCTTCTTCTTAGCGAGTGCAAAGCATTTTTTTTTTTCCAGAGACTGTGTAGCTTGTGAGAGGTGGCGAGGAAAAACGCCGTGTAGCCAGTTACATAGTTTTCGCTGATTCTTTCTCCCTTGAAAGAGCCCATTCTTTCAATCTCCTCTAGATCTTCCTTGGAGAGAGAGAGCTCAAGAGAAGCTAGATTCTCTTCGAAGTTCTGGAGCTTGGTGGTGCTTGGAATGGGAACAACGTCATCACCTTGGTGCTGGACCCAAGCCAGAGCAAGCTGCCCGGCGCAGCTAGCTTGCAGAGCTTCTCGTATATGGCTTTGTTGCGCTCCAGGTTCTCTCCTTGAAACCTCGGAAGGGTTACATGCTTGGGAGTAAAACGGTCTGTGGGTGACATGCTTGGGAATAAAACTGGAACAAGTACCTTGCGGAAGCCACCACGGCCTTTCCCGAGAAGAATCCTCGTCCAAGAGGACTGTACATAACAATTCCAATTCCTAGCTCTAGGAAGAAATCATTCCAACTTGCAAGTAAGCAAAGCTCGAATCATCGACGTGTTTACCAGCTTTGCTGCTGATCTGATCCCGCTCCAGAGAGACCACTCGATCTGAACAGCAGTGATTGGATGAATCGCATGAGCTCGACGGATATCTCCAGCCGACGCTTCCGTGAGTCCCAAGTATTTCACTTTCCCTTCCTCCACGAGCCCCTCCATCGCCCCAACTTGTGCATGAGATGATCATAAGTTTTCGGATACTATAATCACAAGTACTAGTGAGAACTTACCGTGACCTCGATTGGAACATTGAGATCATCTCAGTGTTGATGGAATCGACCTGGAGCCTTTTAAGGCTGGCTACGCAGGCAGCACGGACGTAAGCGGGATCGCCTCGGATGGCCATGCCACTGAAATCGCCGCCTTCGGGAAGAGTTACTCCAAATTTTGTAGCGAGTTGGATTTTTATCCGAAGGCCTTTGATCGCCTGAGGCAAAAGCAAAACGAAGAGGGATTAGAATCACACAAAAGAAAGAAAAAGTTGTGCGAGCACTTGCCTTTCCAATGAGAAACTCATTGGTATATGGCCCATACAAATCAGATGTATCAACTCCAGATTTGACAGCGTTGCGAATGACACTCGGGCTTTGGAGGGCCATAGATTTGAAGAGAGCCCCATGCATCCAAGCCCCTGCTTTGAAACTTCCAGGGCTTGAGAGCCGTGCTTTACTCTTGGAACCTCCATAGCGATGTAAAGAAAACGAGCAAATATCACGAACAAAAGCCGAGCTTTACCAAACGAACAGAACGCTAGATAGAACGAAACGAAGAAAGTTGCGCAGACAAAGGTGATGGATTGCGGGAAAATATATATGGCTTCGTCAGGTTGCTTCATATTCGCTTCCTTCGCGCCTTCCTCGAGCTTCGCTAAGCCGGCCGTTGTTTGAGCTAGGAATATTCTAAAAATATGCGAAAAGTATACACACACCTTTTTGCCTTTTCTCGTACCTGACAAAGCCATGGCTGGTAGTAGGATTTTTTCCTTTCCTGCCTCGCAGCAGCCAAAGGCCATGGTAGCCGCGCAAGGCTAGCCGTGGCAAAGCTGGCCTTACCAGTGCGTGGAGCGCTCACAGGCGTCATGGCCGACCAGCGGGGCAGGAAAGAAGAACCTATACAAGGGCTGTGTGCTGAAGAGAGAAGCCGGATGGTGTGAATCCCCCCAGGCTGCCACAGCACAGCCGGAATGGCTGTGGCATGCCAAAGTACACGCAAAATTCTATGTCCGCACCATTCGGCCAGCGAATGGTGACAGAAAAGATTGGCTCCACACCATTTGGCCGGCCTAATGGTTCAGGGAAAAGAATCAAATCCAACAGAAACTTTTTTTGCCTCGTCTTGGTGCCGAATGGTGGGGAAGGAAAGGTTTGAAAAACCATTCATTTGCTGGAGGCGAGCATACTCGTTTGGATTTGGTTTGGAAAACAAAAGTTGTATAGTGATATATTTTTGGTTTGCTCAAGGGGAGTGGAATATGGTATTTTTTTCCATCTAATAATTGATATTAAATAAGATTAATTTTGTGTTTAAAAAATATTAATATGTTTATAATTATAAACTTTGGATTAACAAATAGAAATAACACTACTATTAAGCAAACATACATAAAATGCACAGCAAATTATTTTCATATTAATAAATTCATTATAAGTCTATATCCAAACATCAACTTACAAAGATATAATATCATGCATTCTTGAAGGTGTTTATACAAGTAAATAAAGAAGTTAATGTCACTTAACAAGAATTACATAATTCTAAGTTCCTAGCAACTAAAATCTATATACTTTTTAACTGGTATAACCACATTTGGAAACTAATAGAAAACTACATCCAACACCATAGTCACAATAAGCAAGAATATGAAACCATATAAATATAATGAAAACTATATTTATAATAAAATATTGTTGACTAGTGCAAAAATATTACCTAAAAACTGATGAAACTTGATGTTAATTCACATGACAATAGCTCATCTCATGTGAAAACCTTGAAACTTAAGAGGGAGAATTTGTGAGGAAACAAACTTAAGGTAAATTTTTTTTTTTCTTGAAAATTATGCTTTGGATCTCAGCTCATGGAGTAACAATGAGCATTGTCATAACACAAGGGATGTGGCATGAGGTAGATACTAAACAATTTCTAAAAGTTAATTTATAGTGGACAGAACTATACATTTCCTATGCTTATGAGATGGATTTCTATGTTTCTTTAATGCTTTGTTGTAACGATTCTGGAGAGATGTTTGGTATGCTCAAAAGTACTATGATTACAAGCAATAGATTTTTTGATTGTCAAAGGTGTTTGGGAGATGATAGATATTTTATTTTTTACTTTTTAAATTTCATACTCAAATTGAATTTGTTGGTGAATTTTTTCTATTTCCACAAATGTCATATATATAAATCTGTTCGAGTGGCTACTAATTAAAGTGTTTTTTCTTCCTTATTTATTATCTTTGCAATGACAATGCAAGCATAAAGGATGATATCTCTTTTCCCTCTTCAAGTTTAAACCCATTCTCGAGGTGAGTAATTCGATTTTGGATTGGGTAGGTTGCTTGATTTATATTTTGTTCTCAGGTTTAGGTTTTCTAAAAGTGAGAAGAGAATGTTGATTGTACCAAAAGAGTGAAGTTAATAAGCTAGAATTCATGCAAAAAAACTAGAAAAAACAGTCACTCTGGCATAAAGGAAAAAAGGTTGGCTATACCTTCACCTCTACTTTTGTCCAAATTTTGCCTCATCGATGTAGAAGAAATATTTCCCAAATGAGAGTTTAGTACTTCACATGAACTTTGTATGTCGTCATTTGCCTAGCCCTGTGAGATGTTTGCGTACTCCTTTCCAGAAGTTTTATAATGTCGCTTTCAATTCTACTCATAATAAAAATGATAGAACGAGAACAAATGCTAGGAAAAAGAACCAGCGAGTAAAGGGATATCTTTTCTGTCTTGCCCGCTCTTCATCCATCCACTTCTTCATCTTGTCCTTCAATGCCCTTCTGATTGTAGCAAAACAAGTAGATATCCATACAAGATATCTTGCAAACTAGTGATACAAACTCCTGAAACACAAACATTCAATCCTCAGCCAACTCCAACTCTACGTTCCTAACATTGGTCCCAGTCCTTGCGAATCTCCTCTGTCGTTGGAACTGGCCTTTGTAGATTGCTTGATGGAGAGGATAAACTTCCCCTTCTCCTCCACGTACCCTCCTGGCGGAAAACATTCACCATGGTGTGTACACTTTTTGCACAGTTCATTACAGACCAATTTGACAAACTGGATCGGAAAGCATATCTGCCACAAAAACTCTATATTCAGGAGAGGGATGGTAGAGGTGATCGGCATCAAGAAAAAAACTTTGAAAAATCTTCTTAACAAACGCATAAAGACTTTTGTTGTAGAAGTTTGAATTTATGTATAGAAGTTTGTAACTATTTTAATAGTATATAAGAACTTCGCCAAATATCTTTCCCACAGGCTGCTTCGTATCCACTTCCTTTGTCCCTTCCAGGAAGTGGAGAAATTAATCTACTCAACGCAAAGATCCTGTATAGCGTTTTATTTTTCCAGAGGTGTAGGATAATACGCCATATAGTTAAGCAGCAGAAAGGATGACAGTGGCTTCCAAACGCTAGGAAATATTCCCACAAGCTGATTCTCTCTCCCTTGAAAGAGCACGCTTTCAATCTACATACGCTAAGGTTCAGCCTCCGCCACGGTGGTCAAAGACGTCCAAGCGCCGAAAGTCGTCAAGGACTTAAATGATTCCCTGTTTCCACAACTTTTCCAATCCAACCAGTATATTTCTCCACGCCCACAAGTCGTCCTCCGAGATAGGGGAGAACGCTATGCACAAAGAACATCCGACCGGTATCCGACCGGGTTGGGCGGTCGGCCGACCGGTCGGAACGGCCGAACGCGGTCGGAACGTCCCGTTCGGGTGTCGGCCGACCGGACCCGACCGCGGCCGAACGGGTGTTTTTAGATAGCTGATTGAATCGGAGTGGTTTTTCCTAGATAGTAAGCTTTCCACTCCCGCATTCTCGCGCCTGAAGAGTGTGACGCAAAGAAGTGTTTTTTTCAAAGTTTTGGAGCCGTAACAAAACAAAGTAACCATAAACAGATTTCATTCAAAATGTGGACTGCAGTGAAGGTGTGCTGCGTGAGCTCCACGAATATCAACAGCAGATCCTTCAGAGAGTCCACAAGTGTTTCACTTTTTCTGCGACCTTGGCGTGGTCACTGTTCCTTGTTAGAAGATTCCGGGTGCTAAAAGTAAAGTCTTCGGGATGGATGGCCACGGATGGTCCATTTTACTTCTGATTGCCCCCTTTGAAAAGGATGGAAATGTGAGAAAAACTGGCTAGTTTGGATGACCACCGAGCACTTGCCTTTCCGATGAGAATCTCTATACACGTCATATGTATACTTGACTAGCCAGCTGCGGTGAGTTCGCGTTGTTACCTTGCTCGAGCAAGACACGACTCGCAACGGCATCAGTGCTTGAAAAGAAGGTGCCACTTTTGACTAAAGCCGATCTCCATTAGTTTCCTGAAGTCAAGCAGCATCAGCGTCAAGAAGAAAAACGAAAACACGAAGAAAAATAGAAAAGAGAACTCATACCTTTTCTTGCCTGGAACGTCTGCGCTTCTTAAGCTTCAACAATGTAAGAGCATCCACCTCACTCCCATTTATCAGATTTCCTAGCAACACATACGCTGCTTCGTTTGATGGATCAGCGTTGAGAGCGTTTTGTCCAGCACGGGTCCCCAAAGCTACACTCTTCCTAGCGCTGCAAGCTCCCAGCAGGCACAGCCAGTCTATCGCATCTGGAACGTAAGGCATGCTGAGGATCAAGCTTTCAGCCTCCCGCAAGTACCCCGCACGACCAAGAAGATCAGCCATGCAGCTAAAGTGGTGCTTGCCGGCTTTCACCTCGAAGTCCCTCAGCATCGAGCAGAAGAAACTCCACCCAAGATGAACATCGCCCAGGTGATTGCAGCCGTGAAAGATGGAAGCAAACGAGGAATCGTTTGGCCTGAGTCCATCCACTGCCATGCTCGCAAAAAGCTCCAAGCTCTTTGCGGAGTTCCCGCATTGTGTGTTTAGAGCCAGCATAGTGTTCCAGGCGACCACGTCTCGGACCGGCATCGCTTGGAACCAACCACTGGCGGATTCCAGGCGTCCATTGTGAGCGTAAACCAAAACCATGGTACTCCACGAAACCACGTCCGGCACCGGGATAGAAGTGAAGAACCACATCGCGTCCTCCAAATGGCCGTTGTGCATGTAGCTGCTGAGCATACAGTTCCACGTAACTAAGTCCTGTTCCGGCATGAAATCAAACGCGGACTTTGCAGCTTCCAGCTCCCCGCTCTGAGCAAAAGCCGCTAAAACGGCGTTCCAGGAGACCAAGTTCTTCTCCGGCATAGAGTCGAACAGCGCCTTTGAGTCACCCAAGCACCCGTTTTGGACGTAAGCCGCGAGCACTGTGTTCCACGAGACCACGTCCAGTTCCGGCATGAGAGCGATGACCTCGAGAGCTGCTTGTAGGTTCCCGGCTTGCGCGTAAGCAGCGAGCATCGAGTTCCACGAAACCATATCCTTGTCGGGTGCACCATCAAATAGTGCTTTTGCTTTCTCGGAGAGTCCCCGCTGGGCATAAGCAGCGAGCATGGCGTTCCAGGCGACGAGATTCCTGTCCGGCATGGCGTCGAAGAGAGCTTTCGACTGTTCGATATCCCCGGCCTGGGCATACGCGCACAGCATTGCAGTCCAGGACACGTAGTTCCTGAGCGGCATTTGATCGAAGACTCTCTTTGCGCGCTCCACTTGTCCTGCCTGTGAGTATCCGGCCAGAAGAGACGTCCACGAGACCACATCCCAGTCTGGCATCGCATCGAAGAGAGCCTGGAGCTTGGAGAGGTGCCCGAGCTGGGCATAGGCGGACAGCATCGTGTTCCACGAGACTCGGTCTCTAGCCGGCATTTGGAGGAACACCACCTCGGACTCCGCGAGATGCCCATTTTGGGCATACGCAGACAGCATCAAGTTCCACGAGTATATGTCCTTGTGAGTGATGCTGCCAAAGACCAGCATTGACAGCTCCACATTCCCACAAAGGCCATACATCTGGACGAGAAGATTGGCGATATACGGCCCATCCTCTCCCTGGAGATTTGCCAAAACTCGCGAGTGGACATCCCTGGCTCGAGAGAGGGTCTTGCACGACTTGATAAGCTCGACACACTCGTCAGTAGAAAAGCCAGCTTGTACCATTGCCTTTGAGGTAAACAAAGTTATTGTCCTGGATGACTCTTCTTCCAATCCCCTGGAGTAAACTCTGCGCCATAGTTGCTTTTCTTCACTGACATTGGCGAGTAAACTTCCCCAGCTCAAGGGAGGGTCTTAGAAACTTTATATTGTTGTTCCATTGTTTTTCACAAACTTGTGTGAACTTACTGCTTCCAGGAAGAAAGAGGTGGTGTTGTCGCGAATCGCCAAGTGCTGGACATATCACCGTATCGTTCTCCCTTGACTCCGGCCACCACGCTTTCAATCTCGTCAATCTCGGCCTTGGAGAGGGTCACGTCTAGCGATCCAATGTTTTCCTTGAAGTTTTTGAGCTTGGTGGTGCCTGGAATGGGGACAACGTCGTCGCCTTGGTGCTGGACCCAAGCCAGAGCAAGCTGCCCTGCGGTACAGTTCTTCTTGGCCGCTATCTTGCACAGCTTCTCGTAGATGGTTTTGTTGTGCTCCAGGTTCTCACCTTGGAACCTTGGGACAAACTGCTCAAGAAAAAGCCCACGTTACAGTCAAGCTTGATCTGTAAAAGACTTATCAAAGCTTGCCTTGCGGAAATCCCCATCGCCAATCTCTTCTACGATGGCTTTTCCAGAGAAGAATCCACGTCCGAGAGGACTATAAGCAACTATTCCGATTCCAAGTTCCCTGCAACACAAGTCTCGGATCAAAACTTTGATTGGGAACGATCTAGCTCAGCTTCTAGCAGACCTGCAAGTTGGAATAACGTCCTCCTCGACATCTCGACTCCAAAGGGACCACTCGAGCTGAACAGCAGTGATGGGGTGGACCGCATGAGCTCGGCGAATATCAGAAGAAGAAGCCTCGGATAAGCCCAGATACTTGACCTTCCCTTCCTCCACCAATTTCTTCATCTCCCCTACCTTTCAAAGCCAAGAAAACCACCTATCGGTATAGAACAGCGAGAAAAAACCTCTGGAACAGTACCGTGATTTCGATGGGAACTTTCGGATCCACACGGTGCTGGTAGTAGAGATCGATACAATCCACATCCAGCCTCTTCAAACTGCCCTCGCAAGCAGCACGGACATGGGCTGGATCACCACGGATCCCTCGATTCCCCTTCTCGTCCACGAAGAATGCAAACTTGGTGGCCAGTTCCACCTTGTCTCTGATACCCTTGATCGCCTAGCAGCCGAAAGAAATCCAATCCACGAGAATGCTTCGATAGAAGAGCAAAATCCTACCTTGCCGACGAGGATTTCGTTGGTGTAAGGCCCGTACATGTCCGCCGTGTCGAGGAATGTGATCCCCGACTCAATCGCCGTGCGAATGAGCTCGATCATCTCCCCCTCCGGCTTGGGAGGGCCGTAGAATGCCGACATTCCCATGCATCCGAGGCCTTGCTTGGAGACCTCGAGACCTTGCGAGCCGAGCTTGATGCGCTGCGCCATAGCCAAGAATCCGCCCTAGTTAGTGAAGCCAAAAACCCCAAATTTTCTTCATACTTATATGCTCGAGAGAAATAGTACGGACGATCACGAGAATGTACGGCAAGATCTTTGAAAGTAAAGAACATTTGTTATACATTCCAGAGTTGTGCGGGGGGATCGCTGGTAGCAGCGAGCCTCTCATGATCGAACTTGCTAGAGGAGGATGAGAGAGACGAGAGAAATCCACTATCGGCGCTGCTGCAGCTATTGCTATTGATCGTTGTGCTGCTGGCAATGGCGATCTCGTGGAGCCAGATCTGGTGCTTGAGGAATTTGACGTAGCTGATGGCTTCGTCCAGCATCGACGCCGTGTCCATCTTGCTGCCGCCGGGAACCAGGCGCTGGAGCGTCTTGAATCGCTCGCTGATGCGCTTGCGACGCATCCGCGCCGCCACGCTCTGCGGATCCGTGGAGAATTTGGAGCTGCTACCGCTGCGTTTGGAGCCCGGCTTCCCGCTACTGCCAGCTTTCTGGTGATCGAGAGAGGAATTCGCCGATGCAGCCAGGAATCCCGAGGGATGAAACAGGGAATAGCTGATGGAATCCGGGCAAAATCCGGACGTGGGCGACGCCGAATCCAGCGCAGCTACGGTCCAGGCATCGCTGGCCGGCGAATTGATGGAAGAAATCAGGAGATTGTCCATCATCGCGGCGGCATTCTCGTCAAAGAGATTCATCCTTTCGGAAGGAAAAACAGGGGACTCTCCCTCTCCCGCTCTTTATATATCTAAACAAGAGATGATTGGAAGAATCAAAGCCTTCTTCTTCTTTTTTTCCCTTCTTTCTTTGCAATTCAGAGCAGCAAATTCAGATTTTTTGTTTTGTGTTCCCCAGATTCCGGGCCAGGTGGTCTGAATGTTTTTGCCATCAATCCAATCTTTCCAATTCCCCAGCAGCCACCATCATGATCTGGACCGAATTGCTTGCTTGCTTGCTTCGCTGCTACTCTGTAAGAACCCGAGAGAGAGAGAGAGAAGAGAAGAGAGATCGTGTTCTTGCGAGTTCCTGTCTCTCTGGTCTGGGCCCCCCTCATCAATCAGCGCTACGATCGAGAGAACTCGAGACAGCGACCGACGGCTCCAAAAGAAACGCGTCACTCTTCCTGGCATGGAAATTCCATGGAAACTCCAACTTCAAAAGAAGGCTTGGCCACTGCAAAAACTCCTGCAAATCTTCTGCCTAGCGTTCTTGCTTCCCAAACGTTTTCCTGGTGCTTGTCCTTTCACTCTGTTCGAGAAGCTCGCTCTGTGTGCGCCCTGTAACTCACTCTGGTCGGATCCGCTAACCAAGGGAACACAAAACATGCCTCCCTGCCTTCCTTCTTCCTCCTCTTTCTTTCTTCCCCGATTAGAGTGACGTAACGATGATCGCTTATCTCTCTTATGAATTTGCCATCTCGATGGATCAGCTCAGCCTTCTTCATTTTTTCTGCTGATACCGCAGATCTGGGAAACGAGTTAAGTTCATCGGGGGAAGGCTCATCACACGCAGCACTTAAAGAACGTAGCAAAAGCATCGTGCTCGACTTACTTTTCTAAGCATGTGACTCTCTTTATACAGCTCTGGTTCTGCCCGCCTCGCTATCTCAAGACAACAGCTTCGCTAACATGCGAAGGCTTGGGGTCGAAGACCTGGCAAGAAAAGAAAAGACAAAAAACAAACACGAGTGAATGAATGAATGCCATGAAATGTGCACCTGTTATCTGGAATCAAAGCCAAATAAGACTTTAAGTTGGACTTGAGCGATGGGTATCGGTTAAGACATGCCAGACAACCTGGAGACATGGAAATCAAACAACCTGACATGAGCTCTAATGGTTTCTTTAACAAGGAAAAGAGATCAAAGAATCGACCTGAAACGATCATGTCCATCAAATCTTCCTCCTCTGCTGCTTCACCCTGAATTTGAAAGCCGGGGAGTAAATGGTGGCAAACTCTACGCTTGGAAAGTGTAAGATGATACCTGATAACAGCGCTGTAAGCACTTGCCAACAAGGGTATAGATTCTCTCCAGCTCGGAGGCTTCCAGGCAGTCTTTCAGAGCGCCTTCATCCGTCATATCCAACACTGATGTGCAGAAACACGTCGCCATTGCACTCTCCATATTTTGGTCGGTTTTCACTGCAAACAAAACGATATAAGAAACATGTTGGCACTTGAAAAAAATGTACTTACAGGCCCAAGAGACGATCTCACGCAGCGCTGGAACAAAGTCCACAAAGCTAGGCTCGTGAATCAAGCTGTTTTTCTGGTGTCATGTCATCGATAAAAAGCTAGTAAGCCATCGAGCTTCTTGTTATTTCCTAAGTCACCTTTTGCAGCACATTGAGAAGAATGTCGAGTGCTTCAACGATCAAAACCTCATCTCGGTTTTTCAGTGAAGTAACGATGAACGATACTATCTGAGACAAGACGTTTTTAAGTGGTTTTACAAACGCAATGACATGAACCTGCTTGTGTCCTCCTGATGATACCAGTGCCTCACAACCATCCTCAGCCATAGTAACCTGCAGCAATGCAGGCACCAGAAACTGCACGGCGTAGTAGGGGCTGCAAGCATTGCAGTAAGACATCTATAGAACCGAGTATTGGAGGAAAAAAAAAACTTGCCTTGTTTCATTGTCTGGAGTGACTGATAGAAGAAAGCTAAGAAGTTTCAGGAAACGTGTGTTGTGTGCGGATGGAGCCTCGGCCAAGTATCTTACCAAAATCTTGTTCAGTTCACTTGTCGAGAATCTTTCTGGAAACAAATTGCTCACCGGCCAAGAAGCCGAACGGAACTTATTACTTCGTCCCCTTGATGGACACCATTGTCCTGCCAAAGAAAAAGTAACAAAATAAAAAAGAAAGATGACGATCAGACAAGCAGAGAAAGAACAACCTTTGCGGCTTCCAGGTATTCCAACAGAATACCAGCTATGTCATCTAATGCAGAAACTATCTTCTGCAAGGAACTTGCATTCACCTTGATGGAAGCCTCTGCAAGAATGAGAATTCGCAATAAATCCTGAGAAACAAAGAAGAGCTGAATACCTTCCTGCGAGGTGAAGTTGATGATATTTTCAACAAGAGAGTAGTAAACAGCTAAACTGCGCTGCTTCTCAATATCCTGGCCACTGGAACTGCTAGAAACGTGTAGAACATCACCAAGTACGATGGGAATTTCTACTCGCAGAGACTCCACCACGAGGAAAAGAAACCTGACTCAGGGATTCATCAACTTCTGAAGCGTAAACCAAATACAATCGCACTTACCTGTCAGAAGAAGAGCTTGATACCTCTGTGTCAGGAAAGTTGATGTTTCCAACAAGCCACGAACCTCCCAAATGCTCCACCATTTGCTCAGCCACCTCCAGAGCTCCTTTCCGGTGTTCTGGTGCTGCATTTAGTTTATAGTATTAGAAGACCGCATGGAGTTTGCCTTATTCTACGAACATACAAACACGACTGTGAAGTATTTGACCCAGTCCTGTGCGCACATCGTCGGCCCATGAAAGACTTGCACAGTTCGTACTCAGCACCGCTTTTGTATTGGACTGCAAAAGGTAAAGAAAATAAATAAATAGCAGCGGTTGTTGTAAACACGAGCTATAACTTACAGAGACCAAAAGCAATTTCAACACTTCCATCACTTCAAACTTCCCGAGATTTTGCTGCAACGACAGATGCCTCGACAAAGGAGGGACAACCGATGCTAGTTCTTGCGCGTATTCCGAAGTTTTGCCCTCCATAGTTAGCCTTGTCACCAAGAAATACAAGAGCTTCACAACCGCCACAACCTCTTGAGCTTCTGTAACGATGAAGGCAAACATAAAGAAGAACTAAGTATCTAGTCTTGAAAGGAACACAGAGATACCTGGCGCAGCATTTTGGAGAAGGCTGCCAATGGCTTGAAAAACTCTCGACTGGCAAACAGCTACAAAGCCTTTGTCTGAAGCTGCGGCAATTCCCAACAAGCACTCGCTAGCATCAACAGAAACGTCCCTGGGCTTTTCGATTCAGTAGAAGAAAAACGAGAGAAAGAGGGAAGAAACGTACTTGGCGCTAAGCACCTCCACGTAAACGGGAACTTTATCGATGACATCGCTCGAAGATGCAAGCTCGGGAATCCTACAAAATGCGGCGAGTATAGAAATGCCGAGCTTGAGATAGTCATGCTGCTGCATTTCTTTCTCGTGCGTGGCAAAATGCCCCAGGCCTACGCAAATCCTCTCTTTAGAACGAACAATTCTACAACGGAGCGAGAAAACGAAGTACCTGTTCTCAAGAGGCGATCGACGAACTGGAAGCCGATGGCGTCAAACACCTCGTGGACGGCTTGCGCATCGCCTCCGGACACAAACTTGGTGGCGAGAAGCAGACCCACCAGGCGCTGCTCATCGTTGCTCCCGCGCAGGAGCTTGAGGCATTCGTCCAAGCTCGCCATAAACCCTAAACCCGCTCAAGACCTTCCTTGTAGGGCACAAAAATTTCGACACAGAATCGCGCACACGAAGAAGATTATATATAAACCTTAACGTTAGGGTTCTAGGGATGACATGTTGTGCATCGCAAGAGTAGTGATCGTTGCGCTTTATCCGGAACAATCGATGACCCATCACGAGGAGAAAAAATCAAAGCTCAGGATTCTGTTGACTACTCTCCCTCTTTCTACCCTAAGGAAGGTCTTCCTGTTTGGCGCGAAATGTGTGATTGTTGTTTTTCCTTTGTAGAATTTCTCGTGAGGAGGAAGACAAATTCTTGGGAACATTGGGCCCAGGGAATGGCGATGCGCTGGAACTCTTTACCTTGGAAGGAAACAATTACTGCCCCGCTACTTCTAATACAATCTTGAAAACGTCCAGATATTCATCTTTGAGGAGCTGAAAAGCTCGTTTCAACGCATGGAGAATTACATTCAATTCAAACTTCCAATTTGTTTTCTATGCTCTGGAAATAGGCTTCCTTTCATCGGGAAAACATGCTGACCTCGGAATTTCCTCGAGGCCGAATGATATGGATGTCACACCTGTCAAACTCTACCTGCAGTGAGAATTGCTTTACAAGCACAGGAGAGCTCCAGCCGAGGACTAAAGTCGAATCCCCATATCCAAATTCAACGATGGTATTGCAATACTCACTTAGACGAGTTTGCCAGTGTCTACATTCACCGTCCAGACATGAAGCCAGCCTACAAGTAACCTCAAAGGGCCCTTACAACCTTTTCTTGCTGGTGAGAAATATTTTTAGGATTATATGTATTGTAAAGCATATATATAGAATATTTAACTATATTTTAGAATATTCCTCAATTCAACCGTCTATAAAAGAATTAGAGAAAAGTTTTTGTGTTTAAGTTTTTAGCTTAAAGCAAAAGTAAAATGGCACTTAGCCTCATGACTGTACTCTCTTGAAGGGTGTTAAATTTAAATTGAGCCAGCCAAATCTGAATTCTTACTAATTGCAATCACACTAACTTAACATATGTGGGCAGGCTCCATCTATGGACCCATGTGCTAGATATTCATCCGAGAGCTCATGGATGTTTAGCAGCATATTCCATACAGATCTGAGGTCTTGGATCTCATAATCTGGCTTAATGTCTTCTAAGAAATTCGTATAGGATGGATCCTTCCCTATGACTCCAATAATTAACCATTCTAAGAATCCTTTATTGAGTGCATGAATCCAGCTATTTAGAAGTAATGGACCAGTAACTAAATTATTGAGTAATCCCTTTGTGAAAACCCTTAAGGATTTTTTCTCCAGCTTAAGGTATTTTATAATGGTCACATTGCACATCATAGCATCAGAGCTCTTGATAGGGAAGCCCAAGGAATGGATTATGATTGAGATCCTAGAACTCAAGTGGGAGATGGCTTATCTTCCATTTTTGTGTTGCATGTCATTTTATTCATTTTTTAGAATCTTTGTCATTAAAAATTAAAATTTAGGGCGATGAAGCTAGCTTTAAGAACTCAAAAGTTGGTTAAATATTATCCTTTTGTGAGGTCTAAGTGTATAGTTATAATGCCGTATATTAATATTAACATAGTGAGATTTTGATAGCTATCGGATTAGATTCAATCCGAACTATATAAATTAAGGTTTTTGAGCTAATTGATATACATATTTTTTTATTTTATTTTTATATCTATACACTCACATTGGTGGAGTTGAGGGACAATTTTGATTGTCCCTAAAGAGTGTTTGGATTTGGGATTTTGGTTTAGATTTATATCTTTTTCAATTTCTTTTCTTTCATTTTTCCTTTTCATTCATCTTCATGGTAGAGTAACAACCTCTTCCTCTAACTCTAGAACAGTAGTTTA